AAAAAATACTAATACAATAGGAAATTACCGTTAAAAAAAAAAAAAAAAAAAAAAAAAAAAAAAAACCGTATGGAATCGCCAATTCACTGTTCGGACTAGCCGATTCCGTACAGTGAATCGGCGATTCACTGTATAGAATCGTCCGGTTCTCTCTAGAACCGGACGATTTCCGATTTTTTGGGCGATCCGGTCCCTTTTCACTATTTTCCGAGTCGAACCGGGCGAGTCCGGTTCGACTGGGCGTTTTTTAAAACACTGGTATAGAGTATTTATTTTATATTATAGTAGTTCGTGGCTTTGAATGAACGAATGAGGGTTCACTTTCTCTCTCTAGCGTTTTAGAAATTTTACATAATGTCAGAGCATTTCATCTTCTTACTCTAAACAAAGATTTAATCTGCAAGTGCTTCCTCTCTCTCTACATTGTTCTTTCAATCGATTCTACATTGTTCTCTCTTTGTCTTTCTTTCAATCTCTCTTTGAAACATTATGATTTGCGCTTTATCTAGTTTTATTTAATGAAACACGGTCCTTCTCCACTAATAATTTACCCAAAAATAATAATTTTTGAAATTTTAAAATATCATCAATATTTTATAAGTTACCTTCATATATATATATTAAGAATGTCTTTAGTATGTCAGTTGGCTTAAAACATGTTATACTCCCTTCGGGAGTATATTATCTATTACTCCCTAGGGTAAAATCCTATGTAGAATTAATTTTAGGATCTCAAAATTTGGAGGTATAATCTCTTCAACTTATAGATTAATCTCAATAAAAAAATTTATTAATTGCAACTTTTGCACACTAGAAAAAATAAGGTCCCAAGATTGAATAGAGATTATTCAATTCTTAGAAAGTGAGATCTAAGTATTAGAAAAATCAAACTTCAATTTGTCTCTAGATGGATCCCAAAATTTCAAATTAAAAAAATCCTCTCACGTTGGTCTTTTGACCGAGAGAGTAAATGCAAACTATGTTCCCCAAGGAATATAGTGTATGTGCCCTTGCAATTTATCAAATTTCAATGGATTGGATTGAGCCCAAATCTTATTTGTCATACTTCCTACCATCACACAACCGTCAAAAGTACAGAAAATAATTAAATGATGTGGTTTGCATAAGGTTACAATGTTAAACAATCAAAGTAATGCGCACCTCCAATGTCCGTCATAAGATGCAATTTTGGTATCAAAAATTTGTAGGACCGCTCAAGAATTTATTCTTATCTCTAATTATAAAATTTTAAACTCCAAAAATAGCTCAAATCAAGTAGATTATAAATGCATGAAAATCTTGAAATGGCGATCTAGATAATGTGTACAAAATGTAATATTTTTTGGACTTGAAATCCTTTTTTTTTTTTTCTATTTCCATATATCATGCTATCAAGATAATTGATTAGATCTTTTTCTAAAAGCAAAACATCTTTTCTTATAGTTTTTTAAGTGCACCTTATTTCAACAATATAAGATGTCAACTTTATATAAACCTTTTTCAAAATAAAAGAGTAAAATATCTATACAAATTTAAGGGAGTTTGGTTATTTTATTCATTTAAAATTATTTTTTTATATTTTTTCAAATGCATAATACTGAGAAGTGTGCACATCCAAAATTTGAGCTTAATCAGATACATACAAAATTAATTTTTGTATTTTTAAATGCATAACATTGAAAAGTATGTACATCTAAAATTTAAGCTTAATCCGATACGTTAAAAAAAATAAAATAAAATACAATATATACTTTAAAAAATGGGCCATGAGCATAAAATATGAAATATTGAAAACAATTT